GGCCTTACGCCGCCCCAAGACGGGGGCGTTCGCCGGCAGCCAAAGGCGAGGAGGTGACGTAGCTCGCTGCCGCTGCCGCCGTCCCAGAGCATTTATTAAGCCTACAGCATCCTCCTGGGTAGGGGGTTCTGCTCTGAGCTTGCTGCAGCCCTCAGCCATCCACATCCGCCCCAGGCGTTACAGTACCAGGCTAAAACGATGCCTTTACTGCAGAGAGGTAAAGCTGCAGCACTGAAGTCCAGATAACCCACAGCCAAACGCAGAGGGGGGAAAAAAAAAATGAGCAAGGAAAGCAAGATCTCTGCTCGTAAAACTCTTAGAAAGCAGCAATATCACAGATCCTGGTATAAAGTGTTTATTTGAGACTTCACAATTAACACAAAGTCTTCCGTTCAATGCCTTTTCTTTTTCATACAGTCAATAAATTTGTATTAATCCCTCCCTCCCCCATGCATGATTGCTGTTTATTAATCTAAGCCTTTTTATTTTCATTGTGAAAAAATAAAGCGTTTCCCCACCATTTCATCTGTTCACTGTACCACTGCCATCCACTGTGCTGCATTAAAGAGGAGGAGATATAGAATGGCTATGCCTACCACTGGGGTTGCAGTTACTCCATTATTTTTTGTTTTTTTAACAGAAAGTAAGTGTTATATGAATCAATCACCCAAGAAAAATAAATATATCATCAATCATAAAGAAAAGAACCAAAAGTTCTGCAGTATCCCTTTTCTTTACATACAGCTGCAGTTCAAACGCATACGTTGCTCACGGCAAATAATTTCATTCACTGTAACGCCGTCGCCTTTACGTACGGTTGTGAACTTACACTGAAAAAGAATCTGTTCCAAAGGAGTAGAGCCACAAGGCATTTTAGACGCCAAATTTTTATACCTAGACAAGAGAGATCCACATAGAAGCCAATTACCTGTGTTCCACTGATCGGCTTTTCTCAAGAGCAATTCAATCTTGTGCTTTTCAGAAAGTATCAGCTAAACAAACACGTGGGGGCTCAGCGAGAGCCAGACCTGAAGCAGGGTGAAAGGCAGTATGAATGGCGTGCATGTTACTCATGGCAGTGGAAGCCAGTTCTTGGTATCAATGTCTCTTGGATGTGCATCTCAAATTACGCTGGTTGGCTCGTCTCACAGTACTTTTGGCACCAGCCTTGCAAATAAATTATTCAATTGATCACCCTGCCTTTCGAGATCTTCCTTGGAGGTGACAGAGGTCAAGGAGGCTTTCTCACCACAAAGATGGTATTGAGTAGGCCATGAAGTACAAGACCCATATTTATGCTTTATTGAATTACTGTGCAAAAGGGAATACTGCATCAGAAACCGTAGAAGACTATATTTTAATCAAAGTCACCAGCTGCTGTATCGGACAATTGCTCCAATTGGTTCGTTTGGCTACTTTTTGTTGGTTTCTTTCTTTTTTTACATAAATAATATAGACCAAACATTATAAACATTTCAGCAACCATTTCTAAAAGACCAGAGGAGCCCTTTTAGGCGCCAAGAAACAACTGCAGGATTCAAATTCCAAAACTGTCTTTGGAGTCATCGAATCATCAGATTTACACGGCACCCAATGACAACAACATTCAGTCGAGCTCAATAGGACTGCTATCTTCCTGACCATCTTCTGTGTCGTCATCTTCTCCAGTTCCCATCAAACTGTTTAAAAGATTTCCTAGAATAGAACAGAGGACAGTCAAAATTGCTAGTTTTACAGTCTCATCTCAGAAATGTTAGCTATTCTCCTACCATCCTCCTAGGGTGCAGATTTCAATAATGAAAAAAACTTTTTTTTTTTTTTTTTGAGTAAAAGAGTCTCAGCAGGACATTAGTATTCCCACACTGGTTTCTATTAGGAATGTATTGATTTGGGAAGCTGTATTTCAATACTGTTCCTTCTCTAAAAGTACACTGGAAAAACCCCACTAAAGTCACATACTTATAGTTGCACCATGAGAGGAAAGAAAGAAAGAAAAAAACCCCAACCAAATGAAGAAAGACCCACCTCCAGCCATGAAACTGTCAAAAACCAGCAATTGTCTGCATCATGCTATGAAGAATTTGTTTGAGGCATGTATGCATTCTTCCTGTGTTACTCAATTTCAGCTTGAATTGCTGAAAACCTGTTATTTACATATAAGATCTGCCATGCTCATGTTTTCCCTCAAACTTTGGGTATCGGTGAGTTGACATTTGCAGGTAAAGCTTCAATTCAGTTTACAAACAAAGCAGCTTAGTTCTCAAGGCAAAAACTTTCAATTCTACAAAAGTAAATCCAGTTCAATTTGCTCAAATTTTATTCAAGAGCTGGGAAATGAGGGCTGAATTTCTCTATTCCCTTTCATTTCTTGTAGAAGGGCAGTATTAATTTCAGAACTTCTACTTTGGGAACACCGATTTTGTATCAGGACTGGTTAGAGATCTCTACCACAGTCCCAGACTTGACTTAAAGAAAATCAGCCACTGAAGTCTGAGGAAATTAAACTTTAACACAAACAAGATTTTTGTTTACATTTGGAAGTTATACCATTATGTCAAAAATTAACTGTCAGAGTCATTTACATGCTTCTCCCCTTCTACTAGCGTCACCAAATTAGTTTCACATGCAACCAATTCATCTTCTATTCTACAGTAGTGACTGGTTCTACAGGCTATGAAAAAACCGATACATTCGTTAGAACAAACTACCTGTTTCCAGCACAGACATTTTATATAAGCCACTGCTCTGAAAAGAGCGGTGGTATCTATAAACAATTGTCAGCATGAACCTTACCTAGTAATCCTCCGTAGGACGATGTCTGCTTGGGCGGAACACCGAAGAAAAGCTGTCCTATTCTATCTAGGTACTGAAACGACACAAGGCGAAGAACAAATGTCAGCTACCTCATTTACAAGTGGAAATACTACGGGCAGCAGTCACACCACACAAGTTAGATCGCTGACTCCTATCTACAAGTCACAAAACAGGAGACAATCAGCCATTTTTTTTTAACTAATTCCGTAGGTTAAATCCTGCTTACAACTATGAGTAACTCACCTCATTATACATAGGATCTCTCTTCAGTGAAGGTTGATACTGTTCACACAATACTGTAAATACTGTTAGTTTTCCTCTAGAAAGAAAACAAGCAAAAATGTAATCTCGGTAACAACTGAAAAGGAAACCAAGAACAACGTGAAAAAAAATGAGACTGTACCCATCAACTGCCAGTAACAGAAACCAGATGAAGTTTAGCAGTGGTTGAACAAAGGGTGGCCCCTTTTCTATTGAAGGATGTTTCTGTGTGTATGTTGTAAAAACAACTGATGCGCTGGTCTTATTTTTTAAGCAGAGAAATCTGCAAAAGGAAACGGAACAGGCCAAGTTAAAAATAAGGCAGAGAGGTAGTTTTACATGCAGAAAGAAAAAGAGAAGCCAAAAGCTCAACCATCTCTACTTCATTTGCACATAGAAGCCATCTCAGGCTTAAACTGATGGCAAAAACTAACTGGTAGAGATGTACATTTTTGGCAATGGTTTGGCTATCAACTGAGGACGGGAAAAATCACTACTAGAATACACTGTGGAATAAGCGGGTTGGGAGGAAGAATTGACATTAAATATTAATAGAATGAGTTTAACCAAGATCTAAGCAGATTGTATACAAGACGGTTACTAAAAGAGGGCATCGATAAAATCAAAATGTGGTAAGACTGGACACCATGTAATTCAAATTAGACATGATATTGCATTTACCGGTCCAGAGTTTACTATGCTGAGGTAAAAATCGAGTTAAACACCTCTCTCCTGGCCCCATCCACTCCCAGGCACATCTCTTTTCAGTATATACCTGCCAGTGTCCGAAGACTCTGTCATTCTATTAGTACTACCTCAAAAAAACATGGCATCAGGACCACTAATAAGTCTGACACACATGTCTAGAAGTCTCATAATAAAGCTACACTTTTTGCTCCCAAGTCGTTGCCAGTTAACAGATCAATTTCCCAAACAGATCAAATCTTTGTTCAGGTCCACTTAATTTAACTGGCAATCTCTGCAAGTCCCACAGGCAAGTACCACGGGACTTTATCTGGGACAAATATTGTCAGCAAACACTGGGAAGGCTGCCATGAGCAGTCTCATTTTTGGTCGCAGGCTGGCCTCCAATTCTGTACCCTCACATGTCCAAGGGCATAGCGCTCTTTTGCCTTACTGCAATTATTTTCATTAGAGTATAAACTGCTGTGTAAGAGGATTTAATACAGTATTTGAGATATAGGCCAGTAAAGAATGCAGTAATAGTGCTGCATAAATACTGAAAAAATAATCTCTTACTCATAACTTGTCCCCGGAATTTCACCACCTCTGGAACAAAGCCCCATAAAATTGTTTAAAAGTCCTGCATATACTGTATTTCCATAAGGGATTTTCTACTGCTTAAAATCACTGCAATCTGTATCAACCAGCTATGGAAAGCAGGACAAATCTTACATGACAGCTCACTGCTGCCAAAAGAGAGACAGACTTGCTCTCACCTCCTCCCTCTCCCCCAACACCTACTCTCTCCCTGACACAGTCCTGTCTCCACCTCCTCCTCAGACTCCTCCATGAGCTGCTTTCCCTGACTGAAGAAAGCCATCAGCTGATTAAACACAGTAAAATTGGCTTTGTCAACCTTAATTGTACATGAGCTCTGCAAAGGCACATAATAGCTTGCATTCCCACCACCTACAAAATAAATGCCTAAAGTAAATGAAAGCCAGCAGCAACTCCGTCAAACCAAGAACCATCGCACTGCTGCTCACAAACTGTCTCTTAGGACAACGAGACTGAGAGCAAGTACTACGCTAAAGGTAAATATAGACCCTGCTTAGGTCCAGTCTTGGTAAGAACATCAAGGTAAGCCCTAACTAGACATAAAGTGGTGTTAACAAAGCTAAGAATTGTGCTTTCGGGTCAAACAGATTACATTAATTCTTTAGGCAATTACCATGATTTCAGGTTTTGACCTTAATATGTTTTGTTTTGGTGTTTGTGTGTGTTTGGGTTTTTTTTTCCCCCAATCTGACAAATTCAATACACCAGTTTTGAGATGGTTTCTCCTGTTGTTATCACACAAAGTAAATTTCAGAAGCTCTGGCCAGTTTCACAGTTTCTTTTGAAAAGGATGCATGGTTAACCTACAGTTATCATGATTAGATTAGATTGGCCTCAATACAGTGTCATCTCAGCAAAATAGTTTAAAAAGTTTAACACCTACTGTAGTACTGCCTGTGCTACAAACATGTCCACCTCACTGCGATATCCCCTGGACGAGGAGTATTCTACTAACATATTTGCACATCCTTCGCCATCTGTGGAGTGCAAGAAGTGATACCGAGATTCACTATAGTTTTGCTCTACAAAAGGAAAAAGAAAATGTCTTTTAAGCAATCAGTTCATCATACCTGAACATAAAAACAAATTTGTTAGCCTTGTACACTATATCTGGTAAAAGGTCAAGAGCTACACACATCGTATATAAACAAGACAACTAGGAAAAAGAGAGTGGGCTTTTTCCCTTATAAGTTATAGACAATTTATAAAGGGAGATAATAAATACGATATCCTAAATACATTTGGACAACTGCTATTAAATACAGTTTATTCAATGCCACCACAAAACACAGCTACTACTGGGACAAATAGCTTGAGCTGCAGTCATACAATTTTATCTAACTGCATGTTGACACTTCATGTGCTATCATCAGTGCTTAAGAGAAGAATCAAGTTCCATACTAGACCATGTGCACCAAGAAGTCAAACAGCACCTTCAGCATCCTTCTTTCTAAGTGCACAGAAAGAAGGCATTTCCTATTTTTAGCTTAGCCTACTCTCACTGTCAATATTAAAATTGCTTACATATGCTGAATAGAACAGCAATTATACAAGGAAAAAAAAAAGGTGTAAGAAACGGCAATAATTTGTTAGAACTTAACTTGAAGAAAGCATCATGCAAAAATCACTGCAATGACAAATCAAAACTGGATAGCTGCTAATTTTTGGAATTTAAAAGCTTTGTTTTAAAAATCTGGTTTTTAAAGTTTTCTGATGAAGCTCTCAAAAACTACAGACTAAGAAAGCATACGCATTTTGCTCTTCAGAAGAACAGTGAGCAGACTGCTACAAAATGGGGATTTTTGCTTTCATAATGTAGCTGTTTCTTAGCCTAATCATATCTCAGCTTCTAACTTAAATGTTCTAAGGAAGATCCTCCCTTTCTGGCTGGCAGCAGCCATCAAGCTCCCATGAGAACAGCTACGGCACGCAGAAAGGCAATGAGCTGGAATGTTGACCGTTGGGTCAGGATTGTTATATGAAACCACTATCATCATTTTGCAACTACTGAAAAATTTTAAATAAACGACCAATCACCTTGCACAGTTATTAATTCACGAGAAACTACAGAAGAGATGACATTTGTTCAACTGTTCTCACACAATTTTGTTATGTTTTGAACATAAGACTTTAAAAACTGGCTATCATCCACAATTAAAATAATTATTTAGCGCATTTTTGGTTTATCTTACATCCCATCACAAGTGATAAAATCCCACAGAAATCAAAGGCAACAGCATTCATTCTGGAATAAGCCCAGTGGTCAACGTCTCAAAAAGTACCTAATTACAGATCCAAAGACTGCTTTGGATGCTAGGTGATGTATTTCAATCTTTGCCATGTTTATCCAGGATTTAAAAACATAAAAACCGCAATAGAACAGCTTTGATCCCCAGCAATTTTCCTCCTAATGACTCAATCAAACTACCTGAATGTCTAAAGGATCAACCTTCCCTTTACAGACAGCTTTACATCAGTTGTGTTTGGCTTTTGCACTCTGACAGTTACAGCCCCAGGTGTTTTTTTTATTAGTAACATTAAGCTGAAGTTATTGCAAAAATCAGGTAATAGCAGAACTCAATCAATCAATCATTTCCATTGCAGCTTCCTTAGATTATTTCCAAAGTAGATCTCTTACAATATCATACTTTCAACATTTTCAAAGCAAAACACAGAAAGCCAGTTGATTTTTCTTACCTTTCCACAGGGTAATTGCTAGTAACTGGTGTAGTTTTGGATGTCCAAGTTTTCCTGATCCCCCGCTGGACCATTTTAGTGCTCTGGATACAAAAGCCACTCTTTCAGGAGAATTTGGATCCATTAAACTAAACAATTTAGCCAAATTCTCTAAAAGCAATAAGATTCACAAATATTTAGCATTACTAGAAATAGGACGAACTGCTGCTTCTAATGCATATTTAAGATACAACATTTAAGTTACAGTGCTATTGTGTCTTCAAGCTCCCTTAATGGCCTCCATAAGCCACCTTAAAAAAGAGTGACTTTGAACTCGAGCTACTTCTCATACATCAAGTCAATCTTGCATCTATCAGCCAGCAATATTCGTATGACTCCTCCACAGCCAAAAGCTGTGCCTTGCAGTCAGCTGGTGATAGCTTCCCTGGCTCATCGTTTGGGACAGGATATCCCAGAGAACCATGAAGTTACAAGCAGGAGGAAAAACTGCAGATTACAGGACTGCATGCCATTCGTAGGGAAGCTGCAAGGGACAGAGGGCTGTAGTTCAAAGAAGCACCACCAGAAGTCATAGATGGGATACAAATGTCAGACCTGGTCTAAGTAAACAAAGAACAGCCTCTGTCTGTCTCTCTCCATCCATAGCTTGTAAAAGAAGCGGTTCACTTGTGCTGCAGCAGTAGTCTGGCCAGGCAGCTCTTAAGGTCTCCCTGACTTGCCTGCTTCCCAAGGCTCACAGTCAAACAAGAAAAATTTCCTTGTGAACAGGTGAATCACAAATAATGTGCACACTACCACACTGCTAGGGAAACCACCATCCACCAAAGCCCTGGGGACATCAGTGACTGTACAGACAATATGCTATCGCTGCATGGAGCAAAGGACAATGCCACAAGACAGCAATGCTTGTTCTAAGCGTGCCCACAAAGTTATTGGGAATCCATTATTCTCTAAGAAAGTTTTCCCCAGTCCATTTCTATGATGAAGGTAACCCTTAGCCATGTGGGAGGGCATACAAAAAGAATTTCAGGTTTCGAAACTGTTAACAGCAGTCACTGTGAAGTGAAAGCACATCTAAACACCATCAAACAGAGTGCAAAGGTCACCTCACCTAAAAGGTCATCTGCTACTTTTGCATCCGATTTCTCCAAAGACTCCAAAACAAGCATGGACAGATCAGCAGCACTGTTTTGCTACAAAACAGAGACATACTGGTAGTGATGAACATACCGGCACGTAAAAGAAAACGTCAACCAGAATTTTGTCAGAGGCAGATTGAATACTTTTATCAACATCTACCGCTAAGGCACAGTATCAAGTCTCAACTTTCCCTCATAAAAAAAAATTATAGTAATTTGATGGCATCAAAAGAGCCTCCAGGAAAGCAAGACAAATGTGGTTACGATTACTGTTTGGATGCTCACAAACACTTCTGCTTTATGTTCCAGTTTGGCATAATCCTTCTTTGAGGACAAAAGGCTCAAGAAAGAGGTAAACCAAAAGATTACAAAGCAATTACCCCAAACATTTACCATTGAGAATTCACCATTCACACTCAAAATCTTGGAATAACAACCCCGACCCTCCCAAACCACAGACACAAAGCCAGTAACTTACCTGGTTGTGACTGAAGAACAGCAAAGCCCCTGAATACATTAGTTCTCTTGCTTCTGCATGTTTTCCTTGTGACATATACCTGAAAACAATACCAAAACCTTGATAAAAATGACCAATAAAGTTGTGTACGCTTAAAGTTACTTACATTTAAAGGATTAAAGATCACTAAAATTTAAAATAAAGGCAATAAGGGATTTATTTTTACATCAAGTTAGTTTCAGTAATGATGACACTTTAACTGCAAGCTGCAATTTGTTTTCTGCTCCAGACTTGATGGAACACAAGCAAAGACTGTAAGAATAAAACCTGAGAGCTTCAAACCTGATTTGGGCCGAAAGAAAGAAAAGGACATGATCCCAGGAGTTCACCTGAGTCAAAGATGCCAATGTGCTCAACTACACCGCTCAGACCATCACGTTTACCAAAACAAAAGCAATCACAGTGAAACAGTTTTCGGAACACAGCCTGGACAGCTCACACACCCAGCGCCGCCCAAGTGACACCAGCCCTCTCCTCACTGATGTCTCCTTTCCAGTGCTTTAAGTCTCTCTGACCACTACAACTCTCTGCCAGGGGACATCAGCACATACCAGTCCTCTGCTGAATCGAAGTTGCTTGTCTCTGATGGGCTCTAGTACAACAAGAACAGCCAGCAAGATTTACCATGCAACACACAGAGTCACCAACTCATAACAAAAAGTCTGGTCTCTCAAATACAATGCTTCAAAACACACCTGCTGCAGCTTCCACCTTCCTCACTTAAGAGTTAACTATGAAATGAAGAATAAAATAATTTGTTCCCAACGGTTACCTCAAGAGCAGGAGCCTCTTACCATGGTGTTGTGATTGCAGCCTCCTGCACCTCATCACTATCAGTAACTAAAGGTCTTGGGTAGTCGCATCTCTAGGTTATAAATGCAGCATTTCCTATAAAAGCAGTTAAGGTGTGGCAGCAGAGGTTCCAACTTGCATTTCTCTTAACTGCTTCTCAGAAAGGTCCGTCTTCCGAGTACTTAATAACAACTGCCAATTTGCTCACATTGGAAAGATAAAACATCAGTTCTACCACACTGCTTTAGTACCTGCAATATTTGTTTTGTCCTCTATGACACCTAGTTGTGCTATGCCCCATTTCGCCCCTTTCTCTCCTCGGCAGTCAGAGCAGCCTCTCCGCTCCTGCAGCAGCAAGGCCTCCCCAACAGCAGATCTGATGCATGAGCATCCCCAGGGGTAACTGAGAGAGGTCGGTGGTTCTGGGAGGGAAGGAGTGGTGGGACAGTGTGGGCATGGAGGGGGTGACATTAAGTGGAGGCAACATGAGCAGTGGCGGACTCCAAAAGCTCTTGTGCTGCAGGTGAGATTCCTGTCACACATGGCAGTCCCAGGGACAGCCCCACTGGTACAATCAGATCAGACAACAAACAAGGGAGGAGGCAGTCCTCCCATCCTGCTCACGGTCTTCCAAAAACCTCAAGTCTTTCATCCTAAGCAGCTAGCAGAACTGTAATAATGGATGGCATGACTTTTTTCCTTGTTTTTTTTTTTTTGAATAAGTAACCTCAAGAATTCAGACTTGCAATCACCACAGTAAATGCTCCACACGTGAGTCAAACAGATCGGCAGCTCCAACATTTTCATCGCTGGCCTCATATCCAGGACTCCGAATCTCAATGTGGAGTCACTTCCACAAATTCTACTTCCAGTAGATTCCCAGTGCTACTTGGGAGCTCCTACTCTGGGAATTATTACAGCAGATACTAAAAGATGCTGAAAACAGCTTTACAATATAAAATACGTGTAAAAGAGTTTTGTGGGTGTGATTTTAAACTTTTATTTAAAAAGAATTTTTTAATAAAAATATATACTCACTACATTCACCTAAGTGGCCCTTAGAATGAGAGAAAAACATTTTCATAACTGAAATCCTGGAACACATCACTCATACCAGAAAAAGTACCTACAAGTATCAGGGAAACATGCCAATGTAACTACAACAGGGATGTTGAACCTGGAAGTTTGACTCAATCACCAAGTCATAAACAAAGAGGAGTTCATCCTAGTCAGCCTGTACAGTAACACCACTGGTCCAGATATTCCTGTTCGGAGGAGCACAGGACTCACTGCTCAGGGTCAGGCAGGAACAGCAGTTTTTCACCTGCTATGTGGATCACAGGGAGGGATAAGAAGTCTGCAGGAGACAGGCTTATGGTAATCTTTCCTCCTCCACTTCTTCCCTTCCTCCACCCTCAAATACATCTCAGTTTATGACTTTTGAAACTCTGAGTCAGAATTTCAAGTTCAACACGTAACTCATGACAGAACAGACTAACATTTTACAGGCTGGTATTGTTAAAACATGTAAGCACTGGCCATCCCAAGTACAATTCCACAGCTGAGATCATCTCACTCTCTGTTAATATGTCTCTGAGAAAACTGTTGACACTTAACATATATTTTACAGAGGACAGCCAGGACTATCTGAGACTCTTTTTTGGCTCAGTGACTTTCCAAACAAATTTCACAGTCTCATTACATCATTTTGCCAAGAAGGAAACCTTCTTTCTAGATACGCAAATGTCACCTTTCAAATTAATTAAGCACCTCCTTTCTCTTGCATTTAAAATGGAAAAGGCAGGATCTTTGACTCCAAAGTAATTCAGGGAGGCTTAAGCAAAGTATGTGAGTGAATATGTTCAGAAGACTGGATGAGAACTGACTTGCTGAGCAAAGTCATCTTCCACCACTGCAGCCATCACATCACATAATCCTTAGTATAAAATAGGCCATGCTTTGTCTTAAATTTAGATTTATTCTCAAATACAATTTAAGTCTTAAGGCCTAGATGATGCCCTTGCTGATCCCATCAGGCGGCTACGGCAGAACACAACTGCTTTGATTTAATGGTGCTTGGTATACAGGGCAAGGCAGGCTATCTAATGTACACTGGTAGCAGAAGTAGGACTATGCACCAAGGACCCTCTTCCCCACACACCTGGCTGCTATTTTTTCTGTGGATACCCACAGGCCTGTTCCCATTCCAACTCAAAAGAGCTCTGAGGACAGGTCCTCCCACCTGTCCTCCCCCCACAGAAACACAATAAACAGCTGAGGAAGTCCCTAGAAAAGGTGTCTTATTCTATGCCCCTGAAAGCAAGGGTCTACATTTTAAATTTTGATGAGAGAAAGGGTGTCCACCACAAGTTGCAGTGGATGTGAAAAATAAAAAAATCAAATCTAAAAAAGCTGTTCAATAAAATAAGTTTCTTATGACATAACAGGCAGTAGGAATATTTCTGAATAAACACCCAGGCTTGCTCTACTTAGTCATTGTCACATACACAAATATTACATCAACCAGAATTTATTCTAAAATAATTCCTCCATGCAGGTGATTCTTGCAATCCTGAGAGCTGCTCCCTCCTAAAAGTGGTACCAGAGGGGGACTACCAGGCAGCAAAGAAGGCCTGTTTCCTGCCTGAGCAACAATCAACCCAAAACCTTAAAATTTTGAAACAATCCTGGCAGCCAGGCTGAGGTTTAAAATAAGCTGGCAAACCAGAGGTTGTTAAGAAAGCATCTGCTTGACGAGCTCATGGATGGCCCTGGAGCCAGGGATACGTGAAGGGCCCAGACCCGAGCCCCCAGAGATGCTCTGGGGAGCCAGACCCAGGCCATCCCGCCTGGCAAGGGGGGCCTTAGTCGGCCTTCTCGG